CCCCCCCCCCCCCACCGTGTGTATGTGTGTGTCTCCCTCTGGTGAGCACATGTGCTTTGTAGTGAAATAAAAAAAATTAATAAAATAATAATTAATTCTTTTTTTTTTTTTGAGAGATTTTTCACTGTAGGGCGTGTGCACTCGCCAGACAGACAGAGAGAGACATAGAGACAGAAAGTGAGAAATCACCCCCCAGGGGGGATGGTCACGCCGCAATCCCTTCTCCTCCATTCTCCTCTCGGGATCTTGGGCACGCACGCACACGCGCCCGGCGTGAGTTTTAAGCCACCGGGTCCGGGACACGAACCGCGGTAGACTACGTGGGAGTCCAGCGACATAGCCATTACGCTAACTGCTGGTTCCCAATAATAATTAATTCTTAAAAATAATTAATCTAGCCATCAATTGTAAGAGCTGTCATCATTGTGAGGATGAAATAAAGAAAATTAAACATCCTCCTATTTGTCTACATTTCCTAAATTTCCAATTTCCTTTAAGGAATATGTATGCATGGCTTTTTTTTTTTTCTTTGAGAAGTTTTTGCTATAGGGTATGTGTGCTTGCCAGGAAGACAGAGACAGAAAGGGAGAAATCACCCCCCTCCCCAGGGGGGATGGCCACGCTGCAATCCCTTCTCCATTCTCCTCTTGGGATCTTGGGCACACACGCACACGCACCCGCTGTGAGCATAAGGCATCGGGTCCAGGACTCGAACCGCGGTCTACTACATGGGAGTCCAGCGACATAATCGTTTGCTCAACTGCTGGTCCCTTATTGCTTTTAAAATAGAATGAGACTAAAAACAAAAACAAAGAAACAACAACCCTTTGAAATAAGGTAAAACAGAGCATGGTGCCAGACTTTCAATGCCATATCGCAAAAGAAAAGCCCATCACCCCTCTAGGACCAAGGACCCTGCAGACTGGAGTTCCAAAGCAGAGGTTGGCTTGTGGACTAGAAGGAGGAAGGAGAGACCAGTGAGAGGCCCCAGGTGAGCGAGCGAGCAGGTGGGGCCAGGGAGGAGCCTCCTTCCCTCCCTGTGGGGCATCTCTGTCCTTACCTTGCAGGGCTTCCTCATGCTTCCCTTCCAGGACCCTTCGCTGCTGGTCCAGTCTCTCTTGAAGCTCTAGCGCTCTCTCCTTCTCCACCTGGGGCAGGGGCAGGGGAGGATGGAGGGTGAGTAGGCTCGGCAGCAACTCCTAGCCACTCCCTGCACCCTGGAGCTATGCAGAGTTTGGGGATCAGAGTCCCACCTGGCTTTCCAGGGGTGGCAATGACTGTGCAGGGATGGCAAGAGACTTCCAAGCTTGTTCCCCAGGACGGGCCCCCACTTTGTATAATCAAGGGATCCTACTTGATGATCTCTAAGGGACCCTTATAAGTCTCACGGTTAAGGATTCTGGGGGAAAGATCAGGGCCATGACTCTACCAAAAGAAGTTCAAGACCCACAGAAGACATAAGTAACCCACTGTCCTTGCAGGTGTTTCTGAAAACGGTCTATGCAGATGGTTTTACGGTGTTTGGGCACTCACTGCAGCCCTCCACCCGGTGAGCACCATGAGAATGTTCTGGATTGATTGCTCCTGCGCCCCTCAGGGTGCCCAAGGCAGCACCCCCTCAGCATAGAAGCCCAAGGTGTCTGCTGAGTGAATGGGGTCAAGAGGAAAGTCTTCTAGTAACAAATGACCTCAAAGTTTAATGGAGCAGTTAGTTTATAACTACAGAGCCCTTTGTAAAAGAGACCTTACATTTCAGAATTGTGAATTATTTATACTGAGCGTGTTTTGCCTTTATACTTTACAATAACCAATAAAGATGATTCAGGAAAAACTTTTGTACACCAGTCTGAGATCTTTCCCAGTGCTCTGTAATCCCTAGTAAGGGAGGAAACTGAGGCAGAGAGCGAAGAGGTGGTGCTTGAATGAGGAACAGGACAGCCGGGGCTGTGGGTCCATTCAGTTATCACATCGCTGTCTCCTTCGCTCTGGAACTGTTCCTCAGACTCCCACATCTTTCATGACCTTGACATTGGACTAAGGTAGGCTGGCTATTTTTCAGAATGTCCATCAGTTTTAATTTCCAAATATCTTATATTTATTTATTTATTTTTTGTAGAGGGTTTTGCTTTAGGGTGCGTGCACTCACTGAAGAAAGAGACAGAGACAGTGAGAAGGGAAAGTGAGAAATCAGCCCTGGGGGGGAGGGCCACGCCACAATCCCATCTCCTCCACTCTCCTCTCAAGATCTTGGGCACGCACGCACATGCACCAGGAGCAAGTTTTAAGCCACTGGGTCTGGACTTGAACCACGGTTGACCATGTGGGAGTCCAGTGACATAACTGCTACACTATCTGCTGGTCCCACTTGTATTTATTTTTTAAAGGTTTCCTATTTACCTCTTCCTTGAGTGAGAATGAGAGAGACAGAGAGAGAGACAGCAGCCCGTTGATGTCATGATCCACATTATGGATCACTGGCTCTGTGCGTTCAGGGCGGTCTCTGAGGCAAACGTGGAGCTTGCCCACAGGACAGCCTCGTAGAGCACTGTGCTTTACCACTGTGTGGCCAACCAGCCCTCCCACATAATTTTTAAAGCCTTAGTGTCATCCTCAGAGAGACCTCTGACCTCACACACTTGATAAATGGCTGCTATTAAGTACTTTCTCTGCATGCTAAACTCTTCAGAACACTTAACTGTAGGAAATAATTCTGGGGGACTAGCAGTTGGTGTAATGGCTATGTCGCTAGACTCCCATGTAGTTGACCGCAGTTCGAGTACTGGATCTGGTGCCTAAAACTCATACCGGGTGCATGTGTGTGCGTGCCCAAGATCCCGAGAGGAGAATGGAGGAAAAGGGATTGCAGTGTGGCCATCCCCCTTGGGGGTGATTTCTCTCTGTTTCTCCATCTCTCCTGCAAGCACATGCACCCTATAGCAAAAAATCTCTTTAAAGAAAAAGCAATTTCTCACTCACTGCATGTCCACTTCGGGTGGCAGGGAGTCTGCCGCCCAGGGATCATGCAGGATGCAGGGATGAGCACCTAAATTGACAGACGGAGCAGCCACTGTTTCGAACAATGCCAGTCACTCAGCTAGACGGAAAGTCTTGAGGGTCTCAAACCAGAGATCAAATGTTTAGCCCCAAAGCGATGCTGGTTCTTCTTTTTGTAACTCATCGGCCAGAACTAGCTCCATGGCCCCACTCAACCACAAGGTGGGCTGTGATGTAGCTAATCATGTAGCACCAATGACTTTAATTTTTTTGTAAATTTTATTATGGGGCATATGTGCACTCCAGAGAGAGACACAGAGAGGCAGAGGGAAAGTGAGAAAGTACACCCCGGGGGGGATAGCCATGCTGCAATCCTTTCTGATCCATTCTCCTCTCAGGGTTTGGGCTACGTGCACACACCTGACATGTTTTTTAAGCTGCCAGGTCCGGGACTTGAACCACTCAGTTGGCCATGTGAGATCCAGCTGCCTTAACCACTATGCCACCCAATGGCCCGCACTGATGTCTCTTACTCTTTCCAAGTAACTGCTGGCTTTGCGAGAGCTGCGTCCAGCTCTGTGTGCCCTAGCCAGAGCGGAGGCCTGACATAAATACGTGTGCCAAATAAAGGACTCCCTTCTTGGCAACGGGAGTAAGAGGTGCTTACAGCGACAATCAGAACTGGAGTAGGTCCTCGGTCTGGGATGTCTCAGGGTTGACTGAGCAGGAGGAAGTGAAAGGCTGGACTCACCTGTTGTGTCCAGTTCTTCTTTTCCTCTTCATGCTGTTGGAGAATTCGGGTGATGTCCCGCTGGTGCTGCTCGGTGTCCTCGGACGCACAGAGCTGGATGCTTGCAGCTGTAGAGAGAAGCGAGACTCACACAGAGCAGAGGGTCAGGGTGGGCAGGGAGGGTGTGCAGGCCGGGCTAAGGGATGAAAGCCCTGGTCTCCACCCAAGAATGGTTCTAGCTGGGGCCAATCTCCAGAGGCAGTCCCTCAAATCTCTCTGGCTCTGGAGACTCTCTTTCAAGGCAGAAGCCAGGTCTCTCATTTCACCCCAACGATCTGCAATAGAGCTGGTAGCTTACAGGATGGATTCAGTGAATATGGGTATTCTATCTGCTCCACTCAATAATAAAATAATAATAATAATAAAAAGGGCCAATCAGCGGCATGGCGGTTAAGGAGGCTGGATCTCACATGACTCACAGTGTGGTTTGAGTCTTGGACTTAGTGGCTTGGAAAACATGCCAGGCATGTGTGCATGTGTGCCCACCTGAAAGGAGAATGGAAGAGAAAGGATTGTGGTGACCATCCCCTATGGGGTTGGGGGTGCTTTCTCTGTCTCTCTGTCTCTCTCTCTCTGTCTCTCTTACTCTGGTAAGCACATGTGCCCTCTAGCAAATTTTAAAAAACATAGTTGCGAATGTAAAATAACCAGGAATCTTGTGGTTTTTTTAAATCGACAAAGGGTACATGTGCTTTTTGAGAGACTCACAGAGAGAGAGAACCCACCCCCAATGGGGTGTAATCATGCTGCAAACCCTTCTCCTCCATTTCGCCCTCCTGTTGAGATTTGGAGCATGCACACGCACAGTTGGTACCGTCTGCAACTCATCTCACTGAGGAGGTGGATAAAGGGCCACCTTGTCATTCGCTTTACCTGCTGGAGCTTCTGAGCATCTGAGCGTGTGACCCCTCGCCCTGTGAGCCGGAAGCAGACGGAAACAGAAGGTCTAGCCCTTGCTTAGAGGAACTCCAATACAGGCCTTGCCAATGCCTTTCTTATCTAACAGGTGCCAGTGCGACCGCGGGCAGTGACCATCTTCTCTGTGCCTTACCACCTCACGCGTGAAGTCAGGACAATGATGGTACCTACTCAGGGGCTACTGGACCATTGCACGGTAACAATGGCAATGAAAACAACAAAAGCAGGTGTGGAGTACTGAGAGCTCACCAAGCCTGGCAGGGTGCGCCGCGCTGTCCCAGGGGCCTCCCAGGTATAACTCACTCAGTCTTCACGACACCTCAATGTGGGGAATCCTGTTATTATCCCTGCTTCACATTTAAGGAAACTGAGGCACAGAGAAGTTAAGCAACTCACCCTCGATCATCCAGTTCATAGCTAGGGAAGCTGGGATGTAAGCCTGCACGATCTGCCCTCACTCTTCAGCAAACACACCACCACCTCGCTCTGCCTGCTTGCATGTAAGAAGTGCAGTGCCAGGCACTTTGGAGGTGCTTAAGAAATGTTCCTTACGGGGCCCAGCAGGTGGCAAGGTGGTGAAGGTGCTGGACACCCCCACATGTCCGGCCATGGTTCAAGTCCTGGACCTGGAGGCTTGCTTTCTCACTTTCCCCCTGTGTGTGTGTGTGTGTGTGTGTGTGTGTGTATGTGTGAGAGAGAATCTCTATGGCCAAATTAAAATAAGTGAATGAATAAATAAAATTAAATAAATAATTCTTAAAAATTAATACATTAAAAAAAGAGAAATGTTCCTTACTATTTAATGTAATGAACATTACTATGTAATGTTCTCTACATGGGACTGGCCTCATAGCCTAGTGGTTAAGAAAGCCAGGTCCCACATGGCTGACTACAAATATCGACCCCCAAGGGCTTGAGAAACAAGCCAGGCATGTGTGTGTGCATGCCCCAGATCCTGAGAGGATGGAGAAATGGAGGAGACGGCATTGTGGTGTGAGCATGCTCCATTGGGGCGTGCTCTCTCTCTCTCTCTCTCTCTCTCTGGTAATCACACACACACTCTGGCAATATAAACCGTGTTCTCCAGAATCCAACAGTCCCCAACCTTTTTAGCACAGATGACTTTTCCACAGACCAGAGCAGGGGCTGGCTTCAGGATGATTCAAGCACATTACGCTTACTGTGCACTTTATTATCATCACAATGTGATAACAAGGACTGGTACCGGCCCAGGCCTGGAGGTTGGGGATCCCTGCTCTAAGTGTTCACCAGTGCTCGAGACAAGCATTAGAGGCAAATACTAGTATTGCCCACATTGCCATTCATGTTAGCTTTATTACTAGCAAACTCCATTGGCAGAGCCTCGCAAAGGGATGGCCAGAAATGTGAGGGTGAGAGAGAAGCCCACACTACGGTCAGTTCTATCAGGGAAGAGGAAAAGAGAGAGGGTGACCTTCAGTCCTGAGCTTCCAGTGGCCACAAGCAGACAGTCACAGGTTAGGCGACAGCAATGGTCAAGGTTGGAGGGCCTCAGACTCTCACAAATCATTTGACTCAAATGTTGGTCCATGAGATTGATACCAGACTGGCCCCAGCTGGAGAGAGGCTTATTGAAAAGATAAATTCAGGGGCTGGCAGGCGGCGTGGTGGTTAAAGGTGCTCGATTCCCACATGGCCGACTGCGGTTCGAGGCCCAGACTTGGCGGCTTGCTTCTCACTTTCTTTGTCTTTCTTTCTCTCTCTGTCCCTCTCTGGTCAAAGTGAAATAAACAAAAGAATAAATAAATGAGTAAAGTTAAATGAAAAAATTAAAAACAAATAAATTCATTCTAAAATTGCACATTCTTCAACCTCACCTCTCTGATCAAATTGAAATAAACAAAAGAATAAATAAATGAGTAAAGTTAAATGAAAAAAATTTTAAAAATAAAAATAAATTCATTCTAAAATTGCACATTCTTCAACCCTACTCCCAGGGATTCTTATTTAGTTGGTCCATGGTAGGTCCCAGAATCTGGACCTTTGAAGTGTCCCAGGTAATTCTTATATATAGTCAGATGGGAGAATCTCTAAATTGTGGCCCAGTTGTTTATCTAATTTTTTTGTTTATGTATTTATCTTTTTATTTGTTATAATTTTTGAAGCCACTGGGTCTGGAACTCAAACCATGGTCAGCCATGTGGAAATCCAGTGCCTTAACCACCAGATCACCTGCTGGCCCCATTTACCTGGTATTTGAACTTCATCTTCACTATCCCCAAGAGCCTCCAGGCTGTCATTAAATATCTTCAGAGATAAGAAGCTCATTGTATTGTCACATAGCTCTGGTGATTTTATGCCAACAACCCCATAAGGATTCTTTGAGGGAATTCTGCCTGCATGTGGTTGCTTCGAGGCTCTGAACTGACTTGAGTCACACAGAAAAAGGCTCATCTTTCTTTTCCACTGGGACACTTCAACATCTTTCCAGATGGAACATTTTCTAACCCTTCAACCATTCCTTACAGGACATGTTTTCCAGATTCTTTATCAGTCTCTTCTTTTTAAAAAAATTTTTTTAATTACTCTATTTATTTATTATTACTTGTTAGTTTTATGAGAGAGAGACAAAATGAGAAAGCAAGCTGTCAGGTCCAGGACTCGAACCACAGTCAAAAGTCGATCATCTGGGAATACAGCATCTCAACCACCACATCACCTGCCGGCCCCTATCAATCTCTTCTTGCTCCACTGTACTCCGTTTAATTTTTCTGGATCTCCCTGAAAATGTACCTTCCATGAATACATATAGCACTCTATGTGTGGTATAAATAGTCTAGAACAGGAAAGCACAGGTCAGGAATATCACCTCCCTGATTTTAAAAGACATGCTACTCCTATTAATATAACCTACTTAAGACTTCATCAGATAATTAAGTAGCTAGTCCACCTTTATCCATGGTCAGCCATGTGGAAATCCAGTGCCTTAACCACCAGATCACCTGCTGGCCCCATTTACCTGGTATTTGAACTTCATCTTCACTATCCCCAAGAGCCTCCAGGCTGTCATTAAATATCTTCAGAGATAAGAAGCTCATTGTATTGTCACATAGCTCTGGTGATTTTATGCCAACAACCCCATAAGGATTCTTTGAGGGAATTCTGCCTGCATGTGGTTGCTTCGAGGCTCTGAACTGACTTGAGTCACACAGAAAAAGGCTCATCTTTCTTTTCCACTGGGACACTTCAACATCTTTCCAGATGGAACATTTTCTAACCCTTCAACCATTCCTTACAGGACATGTTTTCCAGATTCTTTATCAGTCTCTTCTTTTTAAAAAAATTTTTTTAATTACTCTATTTATTTATTATTACTTGTTAGTTTTATGAGAGAGAGACAAAATGAGAAAGCAAGCTGTCAGGTCCAGGACTCGAACCACAGTCAAAAGTCGATCATCTGGGAATACAGCATCTCAACCACCACATCACCTGCCGGCCCCTATCAATCTCTTCTTGCTCCACTGTACTCCGTTTAATTTTTCTGGATCTCCCTGAAAATGTACCTTCCATGAATACATATAGCACTCTATGTGTGGTATAAATAGTCTAGAACAGGAAAGCACAGGTCAGGAATATCACCTCCCTGATTTTAAAAGACATGCTACTCCTATTAATATAACCTACTTAAGACTTCATCAGATAATTAAGTAGCTAGTCCACCTTTATTTGTTGTAAGGTAGGAAACCTCACGGACATTGGTGAGGGCATTTATGGGACTGGCTACTCACCTGTATCTTTATCTAGTTTCTGGGGTTCTGGTCTGAGTGGTTTATCCAATTCTTGGTGCCTCTGGAAAAAATGAGATGAGGTGAGGTTAGAGGGTGAGAAGTCACTGTGTGGTTAGAGGTGACAGTGGGGTTCTTGCAAAAGACAGGCAGGACTTTTCAGTTATACCAGACCCTGCCCAGTGCCTGGTCCCCTTAGGCTGCCTTCCCACTCTGCCCTAGGAAGGGCTTTGAGGCAGGTTTTCCCATGGTTGTTGGGGAAACCCTCAGGGTTGGGGTGTTCCCTGTTGGCTGACCTTTCCGTGGGGCCTTGTAGCCCGGCTCCTGCCATCACCCAGAGGGACCTCTTCACTCACCACTTCCTTCTCCCACCATCTGGGCAGGCCCTCTGCTCTTACTCTCACCCAAGCTGTGGTCTTGAGGCACCCTGACACTCCCAACCCTAAACTCAGAGGCGATCCCTCTTTCCCAGGACGGTGGCTATCCCAATTTCCTTCCCCTCAGAGGCACGTGCTGTTGAGGGCAGAGCATCCAATTTCAAGCCCTTTTTTTTTTCCCTTAAGGTTTTTTCCATAGAGCATGTGCACTCACCAGAGAGGAGAGAGACAGAGACAGTGAGAGGAAAAGTAAGAAATTACCCCCCAGGGGTATTTTTTTCAAGGCGTTGGGGTCAGGATTCAAATCACATTTGGCCCTGTGGGATTTAGTGCCCTTAACCACTAGGCCATAGGGTTAGCCCATAAAGGACATTTTAACATTTCAACCTAAAGTAGGACGTTCCAGAGCAGCCTCCTCGGAAAGGGGAACTGGCGGGTTTACCAGCATTACACACTCACTCACACCTTACTTTTCTCATTTCACCCAGATAGGTGAAGAGTTGGCTGAAGTCCAGCACTGGACACTAGACCAGGAACTGGGGCAGAAAAGAAATGATGTCCTAAATGATGTCTAAGGTATTCCAAAAAGGAGAAAAACAAGAGAGAGAAAAAAGAAAGGACATTCTAGACCTTGCTTCAAGAAACATGTTAAAAAAATAAGTCTGTGAAAATGTTCAATGATAAATGATCACTATAAAAGAAAAACTTTACTTTTTACTATGGTAATAGATATATTTTCTTTTTTAGAATTATGTATTTATTTAATATCATTTGTTATTATTATTTTTTAATTTGACCAGACAGAGAGAGAGAAAAGGAAAGCGAGAAAGCAAACCACCAGGTCTAGGACTTGAACCGCATCTTTAACTACCATGCCACCTGCCAGCCCCGTATGGTAGCAGATTTTTTAAAAATTTGCTAGAGTGTATGTGCCCTTGCCAGAGAGAGAGAGAGAGAGAGAGAGGAACAGAGAAAACACCTCTCCACTGGGGCATGGTCATGCCACAATCCCTTCTCCTCCATTTCTCCGTCCTATTGGAATTGGAGGCACACACACACACACACACACACATATTTTTTCACGCCACCCAGGCTGGGACTCCACCCACACAATCAGCTATGTGAGATCCCTTAACCACCAGGCCATGTGCCCAGCCCAATGGTAACAGGTTTTTAATACGTGATTATTAGAATAAAAATTACAAAACATTTCCTGAACTCAAGAACCTCTGAAATACTGCTAGAAAGCATAGTTCTGGTTTGGAAGAGAAGGTATCTACCAAGAGAAGCCTTCTAGAATAATCTGCCCCGCCCCCCTCTGGGCTCAGAGCCCACTTGTATAAGCCTCTGGTAAACTGAGAGGGACGCACTGCCTCCCGTAGGCCCTGATGCCCCAAATCTACTCTGGCTGGGTGGGTCTGACCATTTAGCTCTTCACCCTCCCGTGTGAAGACTCAGCTCTCCCTTCCCAGGGGACAGGAAGAAGCCTGGCCCAGGGACCAGCCAGAGAAGCTGTCAACACAGGAATCTGGTGAGTGACAGGAGCCAGCCTCCTCCCCGCCTTCCTGTGTAGTGGAGGAAGGAGGGAGATCAACGCCAATGGGTGTCTACTCCCTGTCGCCACCAGCTTCTTTATAAATGTGAGAAAGCCTGAATTCCAGCCCCAGCATCAGCAAGGTCCTGGTTAAGTCCCTTCCCACCGCCTGGGCTCCTGCTTTTTCCTAGAAGTGGAGATGAGGAGGGTTGGCGATTTAACTCGAAGATCTTATGCGTTCAGACTCTGAGCGTCTCTCAACAGCACAGTGAGGAAACTGAGCCTCAGGGAGGTTTAAGACATGGTTGCTCTGTGCCTTAGTCGGCATTAGAAGAGGTGTCAGAATACTAGAGACTGGAGAGCATGGTGGTTAGGAACTCCGGGATTCTAGAATTACCCAGCTCTGGATTCGAATCCTAAATCCAACACTGTATGATTGTTCCAGGCCTCAGTTTCCTCATGAGACTGTTTGAGAATTAGGTGGGAAAAAAAATGCACCTGTTGTGTCTGGTACCTACTAAGGGCTCGAATATTATATAAGATTATGGTTTTTATGTTTGAGAAACAAAGATCCCAGTGTTCAGCAGATCTCTTGGGCTGCCAGTGGGTCTCGCATTTTGCCATCTGAAATAAGATCATCAGCTTAAGAAACGCTGCCTTCTCTGAGTAACAGCGGAAGACTGTGGAATCTTGTCCATGAACAGCTTCCGGATCATTGGCAAGACTTGGTCTTGTGCTTGAGTTCCCGGATGCTGGCAAAACCACCTGCAGATGGGTACTTCAGAAGGGCATTCAAGCTCATCGAGGCCATCCCACCGTGATATACGGTCAGCTCCTGCTCAGGCCCTGGCTCCAGCTCACATAGCACGTCTCACGGTCTTTGCTGGCCCTCCTTTGAGCTGAGACTGTGTGCATCTTCTCCATGCTGCAGGCTTTCTGAAAGACCACACCTGTCTGTCTCTCCCTCTAGCCCAAGGGTCTCCTTGAGGATAGGACTTTTTTCCTTTCCTTTCCTTTTTTTTTGAGAGGTTTTTTGTTTGTTTGGTTTTTGTTTTTTTGCTATAGGATGCATGCGCTCGCCAAAAAGACAGAGAGAGACAGAAAGACAGAAAGCGAGAAATCACCCCCCAGGGGGGATGGTCACACCGCAGTCCCTTCTCCTCCATTCTCCTCTCGGGATCTTGGGCACGCACACACGTGTGCCTGGCGTGAGTTTAAGCCACCGGGTCCAGGACTCGAACTCAGGACTCAAGTCCAGGACTTGACTACATGGGAGTCCAGCGACATAGCCATTATGCCAACTGCTGGTCACGCTTTTCTTTCTTTTTTTCTTAAAAGAATTATTTAATTTAATTTATTATTATTGTTGTTTTTATTATTTTCTGGTTTGATCAGAGAGAGAGAGAGGGAAAATGGAAAACCAATCCACCAGGTCCGGACTTAAACTGTGGTCTGCCATGTGAGTCTTGCACCTTTAACCGCTGCGCCACCTGCTGGCCCCTTACATTCTTAATAGAAGTTTACTTCTCACTCAAGCAATGTCCTAAAGGTGTCATTTCTTCTTTTTCAATTGTCAGAGGACGTGTACTTGCGAGAAAGAAAGTACCTCTCAAGGGGACATGGTCTTGCCACTATCCCTTTTCCCCCAGCCCTCCTTCCCCTCAGGATTCTGGGTGCACACACACATGCACCCAGCATGTTTCTCAAGCTGTCAGAGCTGGGATTTGAACCATGGTCAGCCATGTGGGCTCTGACTCCTTTATATGCTGAGCTACAGGACTGGCCTGAGGACAGGACTATTGTTAAAATATTTGGGGTTTGCCACTGTATCTGTTACGATGCCAGAAAAGTATTTCTAGGGTGGTCTGCGAACACCGTCTAGACCCTCCTGGAATGTATACTTAACCTGAATCCCAAGGCGCAATTCCAGCCTACATAATCCAGGGGGCAGTGTGTGCTAGGAAGCTCAGGAGGACAGATTTGTAGCAGTCTCTCCAGGGGATCCCCAGGCTCAGAGAGCCCAAGGACACACAGCCTGGAGCTGAGGAGGGCTGACTGGGAAATCCCAGGCTGGGATCCTGGTCCCCTCCTCTTCAGAGATCATGGACAGAGGGCACCCCACAGTAGGGGAGGACAGAGCTGAGAGGGGGATTCAAGACTCTCCTTTCCCCAAAGAGGGAGAGCACTTTCCTGGGAGCAGAAAAGCTGCAGACAAGATAGCACAAGCCACAGGGAGAGCCCAGGGGACCTGGATTCCAGCCGTACCTGCGTCTTCCAGAGAGTCACTTCCCTTCTCTGGGTCCCTCTCTCCCCACCTACGAGGGTCAGAGCTGGAACACAGGCCAGCGCCAGGCCTG